AAAGAAATAGAAAGAGAGAAGAGAAAAGGTAAAGAGGAAGGTAATATCTCATAGGCGTCGAAGGGTTGGACCGTGAGAAGAGTGAGAAAGCGTTAACGTGACTTTAAAGTTGGATATGAGTATATCCCCCATAACTATAGAAAATCAAACCGGTCTAACAATCCATCTCCCTTTAAAGAACCTATCCCCGAGATATGCGCTTAAACCGTGCGTTCCCCTTTAAGAACGCCTCCTATACCTCGCTCAAACTTATGGAGTACATGCCTTGTATTACGTTCCTCGTATATATGTATACATATTATACATATATACATATATATATATATATACATATGTATATATAGGAGTTAGCTTTAGAGCAGACTCTCCTTCCTCATTCTCTGTACCGTTAATTTCAACCCCTATTCTCATACCCTCTCTATTCCTCCCTCTCTCTTTTGGTTCTCTTTTACACGTCCCTTCCATCCTTCCTTTTTTCGTTTCCTTCCGTCCTCATACTTCCCTTTCTCTCTCTATCTATCTCTTTCTCTCTTTCTCTGTTCAGTCATATATACTCGGAAGGCTCGATTTACCCCCTTCAACGTTAACTTGCCATCTCCGGCTGGATAGCTAGCTAGCCGGAGATAGGCAAAGGAAGGCGTGCGTAGGTAGCTCCAACATTGGAGCCAAAATCAATTCGTCTGACAAAATTAACACGGTGGTCGTAGCTATATGCATCCGACGAGGGTTGCGGCCTGTCCATTGGGGTATATCGAGCTAGTAGTGGTAGTAGTATACCAGCAGGGGTGGTACTGATGCTGCAGGCTAGCTGTAGAGTATGGTAATGGTAATGGTAATGGTAGTTGTACTCTTTGGTGGTGTGATGGTAATGCTGGTGGTGGTTGGTGGTGGTAGTGGTGTTAGTACTAGCTCCATCAGCTCGAAAGCTCCCTCACAAGCTCCAACGCAAGCACGGTTCCACATGGAAAAGCTTCTCCGCTTGGCTGTATTCTCTCTCTCTCTCTCTCTCTCTCACTCACTCATTCTCTCTTTGTATAGTCATTGATTTCGGCTTTTGTCGAATTTAAACTCGTTCCTTTATCGATCTCCTATGCCTGAGAAAAGGGAAAAAGTAGGAGAGAGAAAATAACGACTTTTAGGTTTGATTTGTTTAAAAACGCAAATACATGTTGAAACATTGTGTGAACAAAGTATGTGGCTTAGATATTGGAAATCTTGTAATTCGTTTTAATACAAGATTGTTCGAATTTTCTTTTTATTTGTATTTTTACGATCAGATTTCTTATTTTTTGTTTTTCTTTTTTTTTGTTTTGATGAACAAGAACGAGATCATTGTTTTATTCAAGAATTATTTTATTTATATTTTGATTGTAAATAAAATCATATTTACGAGATATAATAATTACAAGAATTATATATTGTAGAAATAAAAGTAAATTTTTAATATACGAATCAAATGTTAATTAGATTTAACCCATTGATTGCCAATTACAAGATATCTCGTAGTGTGTGCTGCAATTCTAGTTATTTGCACGTTAAGAATTATTAAAAAAGGTTAAATGTAAAATATTTATATAGTGTAAAAAACATGAATTATCAATTACTGTAAATACCATTACAATATTATATCAGTAACTTAATATTATGATATTTTTCAAAATTTAAGGCAAGACGCGCTCTCTAAATATGTCTGCCAGTCAATGGGTAAAACTATTAATTTCAGTATATAATAAAATTCGATTTTTTTTTTTTTGTTTCATATGTTTTTCCAACAAAATGTTCAGTTATTTTGGGTAACAAAAAAATTCTAAGATTTTTAAGATTTTAATCCAAATTATGCAATTAATAACGCTGACATAAAAATAATCTATACAATTGAATTCTCATTCATATAAGAAAAATAAGAAGAATCGTGAGAATATACTCCTGTTGATGACTTTATATCATAAAAATTGTCCACATATCTTGCTAAACAATATTTCAATTATTATTTTTAATATAATTTCATATAAAATGAATTTTTGTTCATTAAATATAATATTATTCCCAACTTCCACCCTTTCTATCTTTCCCTCTTACTATCGTGCACGTTCAATTAAAAATTGATGAACAATCATTTGTTTCAATTATATTTGTTTTTTTTTTTTTTCGTTAAAATTTATAATCAATTAACGTGTCAAGCACAAACGTCGATAATTAAAAGAGAATATAATAAGAAAATAAATTAAAAAAAAAAAAAAAACTACATATACGTTTGAGATTTACTAAGGATAATTTAAAAGGATGAGATATACCAGGTGTACACATACTCACACATACACACACACACACAAACGTACACACAACGTTCTAATAACGTTTTAACGATCAAGCTTAATTAATAAGAGCCAAGAATAAAAGGCGGAGATTCTAAAATCGATTTACACACACGATGAAAACAATAAAAGGGGTACACATGCTTTCGCCTAATAATTACGACCAGAAATAATACGATTTATTATTTACATTACGATGTATTCCATTGGAGAGTGACGATTTTATTATTACCGTAAAATAATTAACGATATATTATAATTATCGAGAAATATATGATAATTAAAATAAGGGAGGAAAATACGTTTAATAATCGATTGAATTTAACTTCTCGTTGTAATGAAAATTAAATTCGATGCTTTTGTAATCCTCCTCGTCTTACTTCCTCTTCCATCTCATTCTTCTCCTCCTACTACTACTTTGTAAACATAATAACAACAAAGAATTAACAAAAAAAAAAGGAAAATAAATAAAAACATTCGCAAGAAGAAAAACGTAGGGTATAAGTTATAAGGATTATATTATATGTACATGTAGTTTATTAACACGTACGATGTACAGAAAGCAATATAATATAAATATACATCACATACACACATATATACGTAAACTATACATAACACGTACCTATTACTATCGAGCTAAATCATTACATTTGCCACTCGATTGTAAATTTTCGATAGGATGTGCTTTGTAAGAGCGTAACTCTGCTGTGCATAATGTATATATATATATATACATACAATCGTATATTAAAATTATATATTGAGGATTGTGTATGTAAAGTTGAATAGGACGACGATGGCGAATGAGAAATTAAAGAAGACAAACAAAAAATAATAATAAATAAATAAATAAATAAATAAATAATAGGGTGGGGGCAAAAAAAAAAAAAAAGATGAAGGAAGGAAAGAACAAAATTATTGTCCGAGGAAATCATGTGTCTTACACTATGGCAAATAGAACTGAGAAATTAATAAGCGATATTTCTCTTACAACTCAATCGGTTGCAAATAATAGGTGTATTTCTCTCGTTAGAAGGAGTAAACAAAAAAAAAAAAAAAATAAAAAAAAAGAAGAAAATGTAATAGTTTCATAATTGCCAGAGAAAAGATATAGATTACAAAGTCACGAGGTCTGCTTTGTCTTGTTATAATCAAATACTTTATATATTATGTAGTACAGATTGTCATTAAACGTGTGAACGAAAGAAACACTTTTTTCTATTCTTTTTCACTCGATCACTACGTTACGTTTCTAATTGTTTTTTTCTCTTTTTTTTTTTTTAATACAGGTTTTTTTTTTTTTTAATACAGCACAAAAAGTCAAACATACGTAATTTATTCTTTATTGTTATAAATTATTTTTTTTTCTTGTTTACGTACACGTAACGATTATCATCCCTCAACCATTTTGATGAAATTATGGAAAAACAAAAAAATAATAATAATAATAATAATAATTCAGCACGAGAAAATATTCGAAAGGTAAATTTAGTAAGTTTATAATCAAATAAATATTTTCAATCTATTATTAATCGTTCTCTCTATTGTAAACGATCGATGTGTTTAGATTGTAATATGTATATACATTGTCTTTTTTAATACGTCATTAAATTATTCTCTCACAATATTCATCCGTACTGTTTTACATGAAGAAAATGATATATGTGCATATTTTTGCTAAAGCGATATATATATATATATATGCACAATCAGTGGAAAAACAAGTATTTTAAATATATATTTCACGTTTATTTTATTGACTTTAATTGTTACATTTTGTGCGTTTTAATTCTTCTTCATAAATAATTACGTAAAAAAAAATGTTAAATGCTGATATGCTCACACATACGTGTGATTTTTGTTCTTTTTTTGTTTTTTTGTTTAATTTAAAAGAATAAGGAGTAAGAATAAGAGGTAAGTTTTATTAATAATTAGATAATTAGATATATTTCTACGTAATTTTTATAAAATTTAATATCGCTTGTATACCAATGAGTGTTATTAATTTTTAAACTTTACGACGTACACAATGCATTTGTTTAATTAATATACTTTGGTACAAGCTCGTTTAATATATATATACAAGTGTTAAATATTATATATATGTACAAGATTTAAAAAAATATTTTACTACTTTATTAATTATTAACAGCTTATGCGATATTTTATATAATTGCACTCATTTTCTTAAAATAATACAGATAAAAATAATACAGTTAAACATTTCGTAATATATAAAATAGTAATAGAATATTATAATAGAACATTTTGTTAAAATTATAGAAAAGAAATTTTCAATACATACATACATATATATATATATATATGTGTGTGTGTATCATATACAGAAAATGTAAATACAAATTATAGGTATTATTTATTTCATTTGTTCTTTAATCAAAAAATAACGATGTTACGTTAATATATAATCTGACTAGATGAGATTAAATTGATGATATATTACGGAAAGATTTGTAATGACGGTATTTCAAAATTTTTATGGACTTAGCTTTGGATTATAATTTGTTTCGATTAAAAGGACTAGATAATATTTCTATTTAAAGATATACTGCGTTTGTAGTAACATGAAGTTATTATATTTTTAAAAGTTTTTGTTTCTTTTTGTCATTCCTCTTATAGACTCTTTAAAAATAAATTAATTACTATAGAAATCAAATTATTATAATAAAAATATTTCATTGCATTAACTTTCTGCTCATTTAAAATATCTTTATAATTAAGTCTAATTCTTGGAAAAATTCGTTTGTAATTTACATATATAAAATTTTAGACTAATCGTGCCTTTATCAAATCAAACAATTCATTCTATTTGTTTGAAATTAAATCACAGTAAATTCATAAATGTTCATGAAGACACGATATCTTGTCAGTTTACAAAAATATAATTATAAATTAAACAAAACAAAAATAAAAATAAAAAAAAAAAAGGTTTGTGGTAATATATTTCTAGCTCATCAATTTTCTTTGTTGATTTTGTTTTGTTAACTTAGCTATTTCTGCACCTAATATATCAACGCTATCCTGCAAATACATAAAGAGATATAAAAATATAACAATTACTTTTAATTAATTGTATATTAATTGTCTGTTAATTACCCTCAAAGTCATATTTTTTAATAATATATCTTCCACAACGGCTTGTAATTTTTGATTAATTTCTAATGAAAGTTCTAAACTCATGTTGTCATCTGAAACTCTTTGATTGTAGACAGATGCCATTATACCTCCATACCTTGCTAATTCTGCCTATAATTTACATTAAAGAAATAATGATATATATTAATTTACATATAATAACATAAAAAAATATATATTTTGGGATTTTATATACATATCCTAAAAAAAATAAAAAAATAAAAAAATTGGATAAAAAGTGTAAACCTACGAGTAACTTACAGTATTTTTCCTGCTTTTGATAAGCTATAATGACAAAAATAATAAGCATACTATATATTAGTATGCTTTCATTTCTAAATATCATTAAAGTATTTTTACTAAGTTGGGATAGAGAAATTGTTTTAATACTTTTAATGCAATAATAATAAAATTATTATAAAATCAATGAATTACCTTGTGCTTATCTCTTTCATTACTACCCATGGCACCAGAATTCTCTTGTAGAATATAATGTTGTATTATTTTTGTTTTCTTCTGTATTTCTTCGACTAACGTTTGTGCATGTCCTTCCAAGAATTCGATTTTTTCTAATTTTTTTACATTATCATTTTGTAAAGTCACAATGCGATCCATTAATAATTTTGTATTGGGTTCATTAGAATGAATATAATTTTCACCATTAGTGTTGTTATCAGATAAAGTACCATTTGGTGTTTCACCTATACGATAACACGAAAAATTAATAAAATATTTAAAAAGAAAAATCAACAGTATATAATGTTAAGAGAGAAAAAAAAAAAATATATATATATATATAAAATTATGATACCTGTATTTAAGGATGTATTAGAGCCAGCTCTTGATGCAACAATCAATGAATTACTTGATGAAGATAACTGAAATGCCTCCAATTTTTTACGACACTGCTGTAACTCTCGTGTTATTTCTTTCATATTTCTTTGTTGTTTTCTTTTAAGTACTTCATTTTCTCCTTGACTATCCTCTAACTTTTGTGTTAAACTCTGAACAAGTTGCGTTTGTTCTGCTACATGTTTCGCTAAGATTTCACACTCTTCAATTCTTCTTTTTTGTTCGGACGTTAGATCGTCTTCAAGCAATTTTATTTTACTTTTCAATTCATTCACTTGATCACGAAGTGGACCTTGTTCTTCCTCAAGTTGTTTAGTTTTTGTTTCAAGTGTAGTAAATTCTGATTGAAGACATACGTTTTTATCTGTTAACTTTTGTGTAAAATCTAACATAGCAGCCTCGCGTAAACGACATGCATGTATATCAGATCCTAATTCTTGATTTGTTAAATGTAATTTTTCTAATTCAGTTGACATAGATTTTAAACTCTTCTCTGCTCTATATAAATCAATATAATATTTTTAGAAAAAAAAAAATAATAATTTTTCTTTATAAAATCTTATCATTTGTAAATCTTAAAGTATTTATACTTACTCTTGTAATTGGGATTTTAATACTTCCATTTGTGAAACTTTTTGGGTCAAATCAAAAATTTCCGTTTGTCGTTGTTCCGCTAGAATCTTCAAATTATTAAAAGTATCTTCATATTCTTGCTGCCTTATTTCATAATTTTGTATTTTTATACTAAGTGAGTTGTTTTCTTCAATTAATAGTTGTTGTTTGTTCAATAATGTTTCAACTTCTTTTTGTAATTGTAAACATAGCATTTCCTTATCTTCAGTTACATATCTTTCCAAAATTAATCGTGCCTGTTGCTCTTTAAGCTGCTGATCTAATGTTATAGCTTTATTTTCTTCAGATAATTGAAATTTTCTAATAGTTTGTTGTGTGTCTTTACGTACTTGTTCACACTCCTCCTTCATTTCATTAATTCTACTCTATAATTATAAACATAACGTTAAATCTAATACAAAGCTCAAAGTACGCGTTATAAAGAATTTTTCTTAATGAAATATTTAACGTCTAACAATTTAATTTCATTTATTTTCTTACCAAAGCTTTGTCAAGCTTTTGTTGTGTTTCTTTTTGCGATTCCATTTCCGTTTTTAATTTATTTTGGGACCACTTGAGTTTAACTTCTTTCATCTGTACATCTCCATTAAGCCTATCAACTTCTTTCTGCAATTCAGTTATTTCGCGACATTTTCCATCCAATATATTACATATTCTGGTTTTCTCTCCTTGAAGCTGCCGTAATTTATTTTGCAAGAGTTCCTGCTCTTTTGTAATGTCTTTCAATTTACGTTCAGCATATTCCCTTGCCCTATCAAAGATATAATATTAAACAAAAATATCTTTTTTTTTTTTTTTTTATATCAAGATTTTTTCTTAACTTTTCTTTCACAGATAATAAATATACCTTTGTGTATCAATAAATTGTTTCTCACTGACTGCATACTTTATTACCATAGATTCCATTTCTTTATTAGCAGCAGAGTGTTCCCTTTTTAATATGTCCTGAGTAGCTAATGACGAACGCAATTCAAACGTTAATCTATCTACAGTTTTTTCTAATGTTTCAATTTGTATTTTATAAAGTTCTCCACTTTTTTCTGCTTCCAACGTGGTATTTCTCGCTTCTAAGGCTTCTACCCTTTCTGATAATTTAATATTATTAGCTTTTAATTTGGCATAATCTTTCAACAGTGTTAAGTACGAGGGATGCTGTAATAAATTAGTTTCATAATAACTTTCATCATTTATTATGTTATTTTGACATCCAGCTAAATTTTCTTCTAATATTACTCCTATAAAATATTTGCAATTAATAAGTGAATATACAATTGTGTAATAGATTCAAATAATCATTAGTTTTACCATCTGTCGTTGTTGAAGCTTCTTCAGCTTGAGTTGTAATATGCTTTTCAAAATTGTTTAACTTGCAATTATTCGTAATATTTGTCGATGTATCATTAATTAAATCAACAGAAGGTGAGTTTAACGTTGAAGAAACTTGATGCTCAGAATTGTTCTCATTTGATACATCTTTTTGTTCATCCTTTTTAGCCTGTTCTATTACAGATTCAACTGATGGATTTGCAATCTTTGTCGTTGTATCACATTTTATAGGAGGCATTAAATATTTAGGTGATAATTCTGTCTTCGAAGTAGTACCATTTATATTCTTCTTTTCATTATTATTCATATATCCTGAGGTATATTTCATAGTCAAATGTTGAGGTAACAATGCTTTCTCCATAATATTTGTCGATTTTTCTGTGATGAAATTAAGAAAATTCTTACTTCTATTAATAAAATGTGTATTAGATTGTATTAAACTCATTGGATTTGTTGGCAGTGATATTCTTACAAGTTTACTATCATCATTCAGTGTTGGTCGATACATCGGAGTACCATCTACTTTTCCTTTTTGCATAGAAATTTCAGATTGTTGTACTTTCATTTCTTGTTTCAATTCTTTATCAATATTTTCTGACAAATTTGGTAAATTATTAAGTTTATTTATACATTCCATATCATTATTCGTTTCTTCTTTCGATGTTACACTCATTACAACTACTTTTGTAGAATCATCATTATCATTATCATTATTAATTCGTAAACTTTCTGAATCTAAATCTTTTTCTATTGAAGAGTTTGAAGGAACACTTACATTTAATGACTCTTTAATTGTGGGTGTTTCTAATTTAATATCATACATATTAACTTCAGACGCATTATTGATAACTGTGTCAGTCTCAGATATCTTATCTAGATTTCTATGCAAATGATTGATATACGATAAATCGTTAGAAGATAATTCTTGAAAATCTTGTTCATTTGGAAGATCATGGTTCATCGAAGATAATGAATTTGTATCTTCTTGATTTGGAATGACATTCGTATGTACACACGTTTCAAGGATATCATCATCAGCCTTAATACTGATTCTGTTTAACAATTCATTATTTTCATTTGAATCATTATCTTGTCTTAATACTTCTTCATTATCGCATTTGTCATCTATCTTATCTTCTTTAGAATAAATATTCTCATTTTCTTGAGTATCATTTTGTCTGATATTTTCATTTAAAGGCAGCAAACAATTATCTGTTAAACAAACTGAATTAAATAATTGATTACCTTCGATATATATAATATATTCATAAAGAAACTTATTAATTAATTAGTATTCATATCGTATATACATGTTAATGTATGACTAAAGAGTTGATCTTTTTTTATTGATTATAATATACCTTTAATCGGATCTTTTTTAAATTTATTTATAGAATCGATATTCTCAAATTGATCTTCGTTTGAATACAAATTTGACTTATTCACATCCATTTCAAAAGAATCACTTATATTTTATTTTATTTTTTTGTTGATTAAAATTAATATGTGGACTTCATTTGATTTTATTAAAATTTCACGATTAAAACATGTACGCACTTTTACACTTCACAATTTTTAAATTTATTTGAATACGTGGCAAAGCTTGATGAACGCGAAAAGAACCTTTAAAGGAGCAGAGAAAGTAACCTAAAATCCGTAATATTTAACTGTCAATGTACCGACATGTTTGCATCAATGCATTCATCGTTACTATACAACTGAAAAACATTCGATTACAGTTGCAGTCATATAATCCATGCCTATCGATATCTACGATATTTGTATATCGATTATAATCGATTATCAGAATTGTATCGATATTTTATTATAGGGAAAAAAGGGTTAAGTTCGTTTGGTAATTTCATTTTTCTTGAAACTTTTCATTTTTCTCGTGCTAAGGTTGATTTTGTGCCATTAGGAGGAATTAATCAAATTTGAATTTAGTTTTAACATAACACGTGTATTTATAAATATATTTGAATATATAATATAAAATATTTATAATATTTATAGAATTTTTTTTAGAAAAAAATGACTGTCGACGGTATTAATAAAAGTGTATTAAAATTGGTAAAGGATATTCATTACAAGTATGTAGAATTTTTGTCATTCTAACCTCAAATATGGGATGGTCTTTTATATTTTATAAATGATACATTTATATATTTTAGAGATATCCAAGGAACTTATAACATTGTTATTGCTACTATTTCCGTATTTAAAGATATTATTAATTGTTCAGAATGGAATACTGCAAAGTAAGTTACCTTACCTTATGTTACATTTTGTGTATCTAAATTTGATAAAATAATGTAACAAGATAAAATATTRCCTCAAAGAATCATGAATCATTTAATTTATTTTTATTGAGTTAATCTAAATTAAAACATTTTAGTAAAGTTACACTTTATAATTAAAAATAGAAAAGAAAAAACAAACTTATATGCCCAATATGAATTTTTTATCTTTTCATTTTAGTGTACTTAAATTACTGTTATAGTTATGTTCACATATTTTGAAACACCATGTATAATAGCATAATAATAATTTAACTATATATATATATTTTTTATGTAGACATTTAATGGATATTATTACAAAAAATGGAAAATATTTAATCGAATCTGTTCCACTTGAAGCATCTATTGGAAATATGGTGAGACGTATATTGCGAATAATTAGAGAAGAATATAGATCAGAGCTTAAAAATAAAACTGAAGAAACGGATACTCAGGAATCGTTACATAAAATTCTTACTGCTGAACGTGATCAAGACACCGATTATGATATACACGTGCCTTTCCTCAAATCAGCACTTATTGAACATATCAATGAAGTTGAAGTGGAATTAGAAACATGGTAAATTAACATAATGTGGGATTAAGCACTTTTATACGAAATAAAATGGGCATTTGTAAGAAAGTTGATTGAAGGTCCTAAAATAGCTCAAAAGTTAGATCAATCGTGTGAAAAGTGAAAGTCTCAAGTTCTAGTCTCGATCCAGTTAGCCTAATTTTTTTAAACAAGTTTTATAACGAAATAATTTTGTGTTCTATTGCACTAAATTAAATTCTTTATTTTCTAGTTCAGAAAATATCACACAACAAGCTTCGGAACATATTCATTCCAATGAAATCATAATGACTATTGGCAAATCTAATTTAGTTGAAGAGTTTTTCAAAAAAGCTGCTGCAACAAGAACTTTTGAAGTTATAGTGGCCGAAGGAGGACCATCTCTAAGCGTAAATATGCATTTACTTTATAATAATATCTAATGATTATAGAGTAGTTTTGTACATTTTAATTATATTAAATTACTTATTATTTATAGGGTCATGAAATGGCCTTAAACCTAGCCAAAGCTAAAATTAAAACTACATTAATATCTGATGTGGCAATTTTTGCAATGATGTCACGTGTAAATAAAGTAATTATTGGTACTCATACAGTCATGGCTAATGGAGGACTAAGAGCTATTTCGGGTTCGCATACAGTTGCTCAGGCTGCGAAACATTACTCTGTTCCTGTAATGGTGTTACTACCTCTATATAAACTTTCACCACTTTATTTATGCTCACATGAACAGGATGGATTCAATCTACATATTTCTCCCATGCAAGGTGTATTAGATGGAGCTAATGCACCTCTCATGGAAAAGATTTATGCTTATAATCCAGTATTTGATTATGTACCTTCTGATCTTGTCACATTATTCATTTCCAATTCGTAAGTCATTTACTTTATTCATTTATTTTGCAAAAATATCTAATTTCAAATGATTTTTATTCTTTTATTTCAGGGGTGGAAATGCACCATCATATATTTACAGATTACTTAGCGAGCTTTATCATCCGGATGATTATGAACTATAACTTCACTAGAATATTTTAATTTATAATATTAAAATAATATGAATGAGTTAAATGACTCTTGAATAGGTGAGACAATTTCTATTTGAACATCAAATCTAACGTTTATATAAAAACATATAAGATACTTTTATAAAATACATTGTCCTAAATGGAGGATTTTTATATAGATATATAATTTTCATTTGTACTGTTGTAAAAATTGTATCAAACAATACTGATAGTTATGCAAAATTATATATCCTTAAACAATGTATTTAGTGATATAAAATTTTTAACAATATTTATGTAAATATATATGCAATATGTTCACTATACATAAGGATTCCAATTACTACCATCTTCAGGTTGCAAAGAATTAGTTACTAATAGAATAACATCAACAATCCACCATACTCCAACACCACCAACTGTTAACAATTTACCCACTGCAGTTCCTGTTTGTCCAAGACAAAATCGATCCATGCCTAATACACCTAACAATATGCTATAAAGTAACGTAGTTACAAAAAAATGTTCACTGTATTTTATGCAAGGAACACCCTTGCGTGGAAAGGTTCTATTACCATGACATTCTATGTCTGGAAATACAGTACAAGATACTACAGTTTTTTCCACATCTTCATAGCGGGATCCTCCAAACTGAAAATGAAATATTTAAACAAATATTGATGAATTTTTAACAAATTTTTGTTTATTATTATATTCTGATTTATACCTTGACACAACCTGGACCTGATTCTTCTTTTGCAGTTTTATTTCCTTTTAGATCAGTTGGTTGTTCACATTCGAGAAATTCAATTGGACTAACAAAAATATGAACTTTTGATGAATCTTTTAAAATCTCTTTGATTTATTAAAAACTAAACTGATATATCAATTATTGAAGGCCATTTGATAAATAATATGCATATACTCACAGAAATTTGCACTTTACCAACGGTCCTAACGGTTTATACTCCATTTCTGGTACCATACTGTCATTTGTTGAAACTACCAATTCAATCAAATTCCAGCAAAATCCGATAAGAATGAGAAATATCAGATCTAACCTCATTTTGTCAAAAATAACATTTTAAACGTATCGTCGTATGAATTGACAGGTTTATATTTGAAAGGATTGATTTATTCGTTGGTTATATTAAAAGAGAGAGAGAGAGAAAAAGATCAAATTAGTTCGATTCAAAGTCTAAATATAAATTGTTGTTATTACTTTTTTCTTATTGATTTACGTGACATTTTTATCTATCACCTCTTTTCATTGTATTGAAAAGTTGTCAAGAATAAAGAAATTTCATTTCGATACGAGTTACGTTCGATAGATCGTTTTGTAAAGTAATAATAACTTACGATTGGTTATTAGCATTCGCCATGTTTGTACGTTGACCAATCGTAGCATTCTTTAATCTCGAACTGATGTCACGTGTGTCGATCTCTCTCATACGCAACTAGTGGCTCCCCAAAGGATGCACACCCAAAACGCTTTTGTTTTGTCAGTCGTGCGGTATGTGCTAAAGAATAGTCAGTCGGTGTTTGGATTCGTTGTTGAGTAGTTCGTTCGTGAGAGTTTGTACGACACGGACGAAGGGTTTCGCGTGTCGTTCTGACTTGTCAAGGGGCATCACATCAAATACGACGAATTCTTTCGATTTAAATAACCGTACTTTTATGCAGAACAATATGCACGAAAGAGAAGAATTTCACAGAGGTTGTTCGTCAGGACAATCTAGCCAAGCACCACCACCAGCAGCCAGAGCACTCGGTTTGGACGCCTTGCATGGATTGTGTAAAGAAATATATCCTGACCAAGGCAATCCTCTTACTGTTACAGCTGTTGTAAAATATTGGTAAGAATTTATAACCAACAAATTTAATTAGTTAAGAAGTTATACATAAATATTATTGATAGTTTTGATGTAATATTAATTCTATATTTGTATCAAATATATCATTAGTATCAATTAATAAGTATTATGAAATAATAATTGTTTTAGTATATCGACGAATTTTTATAATTAATAGAAAAATTTCGCTATATATATCGAGTATTGTTTTGAAAAGTTGTGTATACATATACGATGACGACAATAAGAAAAAGTAAAGGAATTTAAATTATTCTTATTTGATTATATATTAATTTTTCTATATTATACATTGTTCGATTTTTTCAGTAATAAAAAGATTATTTCAACGCGCGATGTTAATCAAATATAAATAATTATATTGAAGTATTTAATTACGACAATTTTACCTTAATAAATTAATCGATGATTACCAATAATCAATCGATAGCTGCCATTTTGATGATAGCAGCGCCACCATCTAATATAATAGATTTTTATAAAAACAAAAAGAAAAACAATTCGAATTGCGTTCTGCTGGACATAGTTTGGTATGCGTTAGAACAAAAAAATGCCAAGCGTTTAAACTTCATGAAGGAGGAAAAGGGTAGCTTATATTTAGCCACCCTTCGTTTGTCATGTATATACGAGTCTAGCCCGGATGTACAATCAAATAAATCGAATTTCCTGTGTACTTATTTGCAGGTTGGGTGGTCCTGATCCTCTCGACTATATAAGCATGTACGAAAATCCTGGTTGTCCCGAACTAGGCGTGCCTCCGCATTGGCATTACGTGAGGCAAGTATCGAATTACTTCTTATTTCCATTACCAGAATGTTTAAATAGATGTTTACAGTAAGATGTGCTTCTAATACGAAAGTGATCTTTAAAAGACATACCATTTAAGATTTGAATAAAAAAACACATCGTTATGTAAATTATATTACAATATTATAATAATTGTATATCACTTTCTAATAACTTACTATATTTAAACATCTTCGAAATGAATCTATTGTTTAGGTACTCTGTATAATTCAATTAAAACAAAATATTATATTTCACAGAATCTATTTTCTAGATCAACGTTTTACAAATTATGTTTCGCGAAATATTGTTGAGTTACGTGAAAAATTACATAAATTAATATAGACCCATGTATAATTTTAATGTTAACTTTTATATTTACTTTTATTGTATTATTTATTGTTAATTTATCCTATAAAATAACCAAGGTAGGAACTGTTATAGAAAAAATTTGAGAAACATTTTTCTAGATTTTATTGTCATTTCAAAATGGCCTGAAATGACAATGAGATTCTAATATTTTTTACATATCTCTTTTTTATCCTAACATTAATATTCTTCTAATTATTAAAATTAATAAATTCATTAAATGACAATTGTCATCTAATTATTGAATTTTTGCAAATAGTTATTTTGTTTCAAAGTTAAAAGACTCTATGTCAAAAGATGAAGATCATCCATCGAACGTGGCCGATTCATTTTGCTCTCATCGCTCTGCCACATACTTCTTCTTCCATTTCTCTTCTTCGAGGCATCATTCATTCAGAAAAGACAGCCCTTCGTTTTTTATGCCATAGGGGAAGAGAGACGCCGAGCTAAAGAAAGATATAAAAAAAAAGAAAAAGAAAAAAAGAAACGGGAAGTCAGGCATTCGTTAATGTCACCCTGTTTAGGTAGAAGTGTGCCCGTGGCTTCTTTGTACAAAACCCGCGAGCTCCATATACACGCGTGCGCACACACGCACATATGGTTCATATATATGGCTAGGTGAAAATTTATATACATACGTACATAAATATATAATAATATTAATAACATATATATGTATTTACGTATGCATGTATAATATATTTATGTATATGTATATATATGTACACGTGACACGTGTACACCTCGTGCATTTCAATCTCCGTCTTCCTCTTCTTCGTCATTTTAAAGACGTTTCTTCTCCTCGTTCTTCGGTACATCCCTATATTTTCTTTAATCTTCTTTCCCATCCTCATTCCAGTCGTAATATAATTCATCTTATAAAAACCATCGGCAGCATTTGTCCTTCAAAAATCAAGCTTACTACAGAAAAAGAAGAAGTAGAAGTAGAAGTAGAAAAAAAGAGAGAACAAAAGGTCCTTCCTCTTCGATTTCTTTTTATTTCTTAAGAAGAAGTAGTCGATTAATTCGTTCAATACGTTTTTTCATTCGCGTCGAGTGAATCCAAGTGTCTGTATATATATATATTATATGTATATGGTATATAGGAAATAGAACGGTATGAATTGAAGAAGAAAGAGAAAGAAAGAGTCTCTTGACGAACGAAAGGATTTCGACGTAGCCACGAGTTCCGACAATATCTGCATAACGAGCGACAAGTGGCTTTTCGCTAAAGGGCATCTTTTCTTCCTTTCTTTTTTAAAGTGGTCCATGCTTCTTCGATTTCAAGCAGCTGCTCTAATAGTTCGTGCATTTCTCTATATATAGATGACGATAGGGCGAAAGAGGATGAAGTCGTTGAAAAGCTCAAGGAATCGGAAATAGAAGCACGAGACTTTCCTCTTTTTCGTCTGTCCTGACTAAATATAATCTGCCATTGACCGTACCTCTTGACTTTCTTCTATTTTTTTTTTTCTATCTTTTTGTTTTTTTTTTCTTTCCTCGAAAGAATATAAAGAGAGAAAGAGAACTTTTTTCTATTTTACACAATATATCCTTATTTCATATTAATTCAATTTTATTCAATGTATGAAATGTTAATTTTAAATCTTTATTGTTAATCAAACAGAACAAGTTTGTATTTAATCCTTTTTTTCTGATTTTTAGTTTGGGTCTTTCCGATTTGCATGGAGATGGAAGATTACATCCAAAAAGTGGTCCAGGTCGTCCAAGTGGTTTTGGTTTTGAACTCACCTTTAGATTGGTACGAGACAGAGGGGAAACTACTCCACCTACCTGGCCAGCTAACGTAATGCAACAACTGGCTAAATATGTTTTTAACTCTGGCAACATGTTACTTCCTGGTGATCACGTTTCATGGCACGCTCCTCTGGACAATGGCAGCGGTCGCATCACGCAAATTTTAATGGGCAGAGATCCTCAATTGCCGGCATCCGTTTCAACTCCTCATGGCGAAGTATGCTTCCTTTTTAATCATTTCATTTATTATGAATTAATATATAAATAGAGCGTTAATTGTTTCATTCATTTTATCTAATTACTTTATTGTTTTTGTTTTCTAGGTTTCATTTGTACAAATTGTAGGTGTTACTTCCGAGGAGTTACAAGCAGCTCAACATTGGAATGGTCTAGGTGTAGTAAATCTTTTAAAAACGACCAGAGGTTGTGGCCCATGGTTGTTGACGAATATGAAAAGGATGCACTCCGTTATGGATGAAGATCCTTCCGTAGCTGAGAAAATTCAATGTGGTATTGAAAGGGAAGGATCCAATTTAAGTGGCGTTTCTGCCAAATGCTGGTATTATATTTAAAATTAAAATATATTTTTTGTTTGAATGAAAATAAATGTTACGAGATAATGAAGATTTATAATCGTAGTATCATGACACTTTTATAGGTGGGTTCAAGTTACTGGTGATAAAAATACAGAAAAATATAGAGAAAAAAAAGAAGACTCTGATGATGAAGATATTAAACCTATAATAAAGACAGAACGATTATCTCCTTGTGAACAAGAAAGAGATACAGGTTTCTCTGATATGAATTGTGTCAAAGTATTACCAGGATTACATTTAACGTTTAATCTGGAAGCTGGTTCCTTACTGCCATTAGCAATAAAGTGAGTAGACGAATTTATTCATAAGATTTATTTTGAAACATGGTCATAATGTAAAACGATGAATGATCATTTACAGATTGATATTTTTTATTGCAGAGGACGTGTCATGCACGGAAGGCATTTTACGTTTAAATCCATATTATCTCATACAGCTGTTACGATAGTAGCTCCCTCGGTTACAGGCACTTTGGTATCCAAAGAAAAACCATATGTTGTTCGGGGTCCTTGGTTACAAGTTTTACTTCCCGAAGATTTATCAGAAAAAATGGCTAATGAATTTCAAGTCTTGAATACGCCAGAACAAGTGAGTCTTACAATTATATACGATTAATCAAATTTATATTTACCGTCATACTTGAATGATTTTTTTTTAACTTTCATATTTATTACAGATTCAATTGCCAAAAACATTTTCCTGGCCCGAACATAAATTGGTTATAACCGTTGTAAATGACTGAAAATTACAATAAATAATATCAAATAGGTAAGAATCCTGTGACGAATCTCACGGAAAAATTT